AGCTGCTTAATCCAGGACTTCCTGGAGCTTAAATGGATGTTTGTGATGTGGATTTAGTATGGGAAAACCTTTAAGGCTCATGATCACATGACATGAATTGACCTCCAAAGTCCAGATATGCTTTCAATGGGACAAATGAACTAAAAGGGTTTCTGTTATAAGTTCCTGCCGCTGTAGGTTTACAGCACACAGACTCATGCAGTGCATTCTGATGGCTTTGATGTCTAATTAAGTAATTTAGTACTGTTTGCAACATTAATTTTCCACAAACTCATTTTTGGTAACACTTAACTTAGTAAATAGTATAATGCACTGTAACACATTATAATATGTCATAAAGACTCAATATTTAACCACTGGCCATTGGCAAGTCCCTGTTCTGTTGGTTTGTAAAATGTTCCTAAAATGGACGCATTTGTGACCCAAAATATTAGTTTGCGGGTCATATTTTTGCTGAGATTGCCACTGTCAACAAATTTACATAAATGAAATAAAAATTTGCATGCAACATATTTTTGCCTGTGTGCTGTGAATAGCAGCCTATCACATCATTTGTTGTGTTGCTGTAATAAAATTAGAAAATATGTAATAAAATTTTATTTTCATTAAAAAGAAAATATAAAAAAAAAAACTTTGCTAGATTCACAATGTTAATAACTGTGGAAACGCATCATCACAGTCTGTAAAAAAGGGTCAAGAGGTTTTTTTCTCCACTATGATACCAGGACAGTTACATTTTTAATTCATAAGCACACCATATTCATCAATTCAAAACATATTCATCAAAGGAGAGGTCAATTCACTGGTATGTGAAATGCAGTATGTATGCAGTATTTCACTGGTATGTGAAATTAAAAATCTCTTTTTGAATAAACGAAGAAATCTGGAGAAAAAAAAATAGTTTATTCTAATCGTATGTACTATGTAATTGTGCCATTTTTATGCATAAATTAAATCAAGATGGAATGTTTACCAAAAGTAAAGTCATTTGCAGTTTTTGTGTGGTAGAACTGAATCATCACTGAAGCTATATAAGTGAAATATCACTAATGAGCGCAACACCAATCATAAATGCTAATGACCATTGAAGGCCAGTGATAAAAACATCTGTCCACATGATTGCATGAATAAAGTGTGAGAATGTCATTTCTTTTTTAATTACTGCCAAGTTGAACAGAGTTCAATGTTTGTATTTCCTGTGTGTTTATAACTGTGGTTACCATTATTTATATACAAATAAAGTGGACTGTTAAATTCTTCACGTACAATCTTTCCTCAATCAGCGAGGTAAAGATGGGCCAATTTGACCAGTGAGTCAGTGTCCAGGGGTCACATTAAAATCTCTCTCCTTTCCACTGTCATCTCAATCAGAGATCTGTTCTTCACCAGGTGAATTAGACAGTGCTTCATAACAAACAACCGCAGGAAACAAACACACACAAAAACATGCATAAACACACGCAGAGACAAGCACTACAATTAGACAAACACACACACTCACAGAGCAGATGCAACTACACAGGCAGGGGAAATGAGAGGTGATACACCGTTAGAGAGGTAGAGACTGATAATGGACTAGATGAGATGTGTGTGTGTGTGTGTGAGAGAGAGAGAGAGAGAGAGAGAGAGAGAGAGAGAGAGAGAGAGAGAGAGAGAGAGAGAGAGAGAGAGAGAGAGAGAGAGAGAGAGAGAGAGAGAGAGAGAGAGAGAGAGAGAGAGAGAGAGAGAGAGAGAGAGAGAGAGAGAGAGAGAGAGAGAGAGAGAGAGAGAGAGAGAGAGAGAGAGAGAGAGAGAGAGAGAGAGAGAGAGAGAGAGAGAGAGAGAGAGAGAGAGAGAGAGAGAGAGAGAGAGAGAGAGAGAGAGAGAGAGAGAGAGAGAGAGAGAGTGTGTGTGTGTGTGTGTGTGTGTGTGAGAGAGAGAGAGGGAGTGTGTGTGTGTGTGTGTACTGCCATTTAGAGCCATTAACCTCCTATCCTAATAAGATACTTTAATGGTAACTTTGCTAGTTTGTTTTTTACCTTGACAATTAAATACAGAGTTCAACACTTGATGATGGCATTGGGGGAAAAGGCATAATGAGACATAATAACTTGGTTTTTGTTATTCAAAACAAAGACACATTTCTACAGTAACCTGTCGGGCGTCCTCTGCTTAAAAACACTATGAACTTAACAAGGTGGCACAGAAGATTTTTCAGCGCGCTGGTAGGTGGTTCACAGGGTCTTCTCGATGGGTACTAGTTAGTTACTTACTGGCCCATATCAAAAGAGTCCATGTTGACTGAATTGAATTGAATAATTTAATTTAAATATTCATGGTTATTAAGTTATTAAACAGTAAAAACTTTTACACTTTAAACAGAATTTTTGTAACAATGAAAAATTTAGTATATTGCCGTGTTATACATAATTTAAAATATATAATGTAATATAAAATATGTTTACATTTAAAATATTATTTACATAAAATATTTATTTTAAAGGTTAAATTAAATGAATAGCTAGCTACTTTCATGCGACAAAACCATTTACAATGTTACAAAAAAAACCTGTCACACTAAAGTATCTGATTCTTGACGTATCTAAAAATAAAAAAAATAGTTTTTACTGTCACTTTTGATCAAATTAATCCATGAAGTATTAATTTCTTACTGTACAAATCGTACGCTCTCTCTCTCTCTCTCTCTCTCACACACACACACACACACACACACACACACACAAACATAATTATTCGCCCACTTATATTTGTCATTTACATCAAGGTTTCCCAAACTGGGGTTCATTAAGAAACTGCAGCAGGTTTGTGGGTTTAATGAAAAGATAACTGATAATTGAAATCATAAAAATATAAAATTAAAATAAATCATTTTAAAATAAGTCATATTTTGGTTAACCAACTGAGCGATAATTCAAATGAAATTAATGAGTTCAGTAGTTGATGCAATGTTGAAATGCAGAGAAAGCACTTGAAATTGAAAACAAAATGATGATTTTTGTAAATCCAGTGGTCAAATGTTGTGATAACTATTTATTTATTATTATTATTAGTAGTAGTAGTAGTACTTGACTAGTAACCGGTCTTTGTGTGAATGTCCACAAAACTGAAAGACTTTCTGAAATGTAACTAAGTGGTATTTTATTTTAGAAAGGAACATTTAAACGATGAAAAATAAGAATGAGGGAGAATCTATAAATTCAAAATTATTTATTGCTATTGTGCAAATAATACATAATAATGCAATCAATAAAAAGTAACTTTAGCCTGATTACGAGTATTTTGAAATGCAACAATCTAATTACAAGTACTTGCTTTTACGTAATCCAGATTACATGTAATCAGTTACTACCCAGCACTGTGTACAATATGCTAATATATTCACCATGTATTCAAGGGCATTTGAGGTTCAGTGTGTAATAAAAAGCCAGAAACCAGTCCTTTTAGAACTCACTGATTCTTGGTGAATTCTTATACAATAGCGTACTTGACTCAGCACTACGATGACAAATGTTATGGAGCTCGTGTGCTACACTATCATTAGCTACACCAGTAATTATCCACAGTTCCATTTGTATTCAATTGGCTCTCGCTTGCTTTCCCCAGGGATGCCTTAATGTCTGTATAATATAACATAGTATAGCTCTATCACACTCGCAATACGAATCCCACTTTACAGCCTGCTTCGTGACTAAAATAATTACTTTTACTAGCTGTTTATGCTAAGGCAAGCATTAATATTAATATTGCTCACATTTAGGGTTAGGGAGTTTTGTTCAGATCCTTGTAATAAACGGCAGGTAATTCATCCCGCACCATTTATGCTACTGAAGATTTACACTAAAGGAGGACTTGAGTCATATCTAGAGACCAGAATATCATAGACTCGAACGTGGGCTACACACACACACACACACACACACAAATTACCCAGAACACTTTAGTAACCGCAGATTGGAAAATCACTAGCGATACCCTAGCATTGCAGTGGCACGTTTCACACGTACAAACACCACTTAAGTTTTATTTTCTAGGTTATCTTCCTTGAGTCTGACACCAAGTAAATATTGCCCGAGATGTTTCACTGACAGCAACAAAGCCAACAAGTTTTGTCCTATGCCGTATCAGATTTTTCGGACTTTCCCTCATAAATCTTCTCAGTGTTTTATCTCTGTTTTGTTCAACAAAAGTTGTGGGATTTCCCTGTCACAGTGATTGTACATTTACCTTCTGTCACGACTGTCATGCCACGTCATGTTTGAATGAGAACTGACAATGCAGCAATCAGTCCTAAAAGGGAACTGCGATGTGCGATGTGATGTGCTATAAACGGATAGTTCCGGTCCTTGATCCTGATTGGTTGAGCTGCGTTCGAAGCTGTTGTAAATTACTCTACAAACATACATCTCTTTGTTTCTGTGTATTGCTCGGCAACCACTTTGTTGCAAGTAACCACAACCGTTTTTGAGGAACTGCATTGTTTGGTGGAAGACTACTTTTATTAAAATCATTACATTTGATTTGCTTTGTTTTATTCTGTGAAACCTTGCTACGTATATGGAATAACCGTTTTATAAAAGCAATAAGCCCCGTGAAGCTGTGGTTTACAGTGAATTTATAACAGCTAAGGGGGTTTTAGGCATGACTCCTTAGCCGTTATAAATTCACTGTAAACCATGGCTTCTTGGGGCTTATTGCTTTATTTGCTGATAATGATTTAATTTTATTGGTAACAGCCTACAGCGTCTTATTATTCAAACTCAAGTTATTGATTAAATGTAAGAATTTGATTATGCATACATCTAACAAGGCTAGAAAAATTGTCCTCATAAAGTAAAAAAAAAAAAAGGAAATCAATTTAAGGTGGCAAATGTCACCCCTTAATGAAAGTTAATGTCTATAGATTTTGTCTAATTATTTGTCTAAACAAAATTCCAGGAAAAACTGAGATTTAATTTGGTCAATATCGCACACCCCCAAGCCCTGCTTGCATCTTTTCTTACCTGTTTAATCAGCATGTAGGTCTCGGACATGATCTTCTCGATGCGCCGCAGGTCGTAGGTCATGCCCTTCTGACCTTGCTGCCACACCCTGTACGCATCCAAAAGCAGCGTCTTGCCCGACTCCACGTCATCCAGCAGCTTCCTCTTCCTGTTGGGTCTCTGCTGTGGTCCCACCTCAGGGGTGCTGGGTAGAGGTGTGGGGTTGCTGGCTGTTGGTGTTGTGACCATAGTAAGTGCTCCTTTAGCTGCGTTCACCTGATTCTGTAGCTGCTGCTGTTTTGAGCTAATGCTCAACTCCTCCAGCGATAGCTCAGATACCCGACTGCTCTCTGGGACCTTATCGGCCTCCTCTGTTGCCGATTTATCCACCCCCTGCTCCTGTGGTCTGGTTTCAGCAGGCGTTTGAGGGTCTCTGAATTTTGAGGCACCCGGCCATGATCCAGGGCCAAGCTCCATAGGCTCTGCAAGTGCTGAAGTACCTTCTCTGGGGTGAACGGCGGCCTCTGCCGCCTGAATTAAAGGCTCCAGGGAGAGCTGAAGAGTGGCTGAACATTGCTGAGGTATGCCAGGAGGTCCGGTCTCACTTCCTGTGGCCTTAGGGGTGTCGGGGAGTCCTGCTTTAGGCTGGGTGGCGTGGGAGCATTTGGGGTCCTCCACAGCAGGGGGCTGATTGGACACATCTGCAGTGGTCATTTCACCCATAGAGGTGGTAGACGGTTTAGGGGGATCACTTACCTGAGAAAGAGAATGATACAGATATGATAAGACATCTTCACACAACAAATGTGACAAAGAAACCACATTTAAAGTGGAGAATATAAAGTAACGCATGTAAGTAAGGATGATTCTGCTGACAGAAAGCAAGACGTATGCTAATATATTATGATTAGTGCAAACTTTAAAAAGGCTGTGACACTAGGAGTGAGGAAGGAACATTTTTGCACTACTGGATCTGGTTTAACTCAATGTAAAACGTCTAAAGAAAGAAGCACAGGCTTTAAGTTGAGGGAAGCTCTCACTCTGTTCTTTGAGCAGTCGGGATGGCATTAACTAATGTGTTAGCACAAACATAAGCGTATCCTTGGCTGTCAGATCTGGCTTAAGTCTCAGTTCCCAAACATGGCAGAGTCTCCATAGGAAACACATGCTAGCAAGGCCACTGTTCAGCTTCTATTTCTAAAACAAAAAAATAAAACAAACAAAACAAAACAAAAACCACACATACAAAATAAAAAATAAAATTCTCTAAAAACAAACAAGAAAAAGAACACACAAAAAAAAACAAAAACGGAAAACAAAAATAAAACCTTCTAAAACCAAAACAAAGCAAAACACAAAAAGTTAAAATGAAAAAAGTAGCAGACACACACAAAAACTTAAAAAAAAAAACACCAAAACAAAAGA